ATACTCCTGTTTATGGGTAGGGGCATTTTCTTCCCATATACTGGAGTCAAAATTACAAATTGGTCCCTGTTACTACCATATGGATGAGCCAATATGTTCATTATACAGTTTACTGTAATCTAGTCATGTCTCCATGGTATTAAAATTTGATAACTTTAATTGGTGCACATTCTTAGAGAATTGTTTTATTTGTGTGCCTATATTGGGGTCTGTTTATGTTGTTAGTCCTCTGCACTTCTAGGTGGAATTTCAGGCAGTGTGGATGGTATTTTGGGGATAAGGTTGTGGAGTGTGAGGCGGGTGGTGGGTGGGTTCTGTGTATCTTTGGATATTTTCTTCTTATTCCATACCTCCACTACACGCAAGAAAAGGTATTTTCTTCCTCCATCCTTGAGCTCTCTTCCCCAGACTCATTTCTGATTGTTTCCTTGACATTATAATGTGAATCACCCACAGTCCAAATCTCAGTTTTCTTAGAAGGGTATCAGTAATGAGAAGTAGACAGTCTTCAGACCCAACCCCGGCAAGGCCAGTCCTACTTTGGATGTTTTTCATTTAATCACACTTCTTGGCAGTTGCTGTGGAATTGGAAGAGTTGGGTTGTTGGTTTGTTGGTACCTTTGATCTCTTAACCTAGTCTGTAACTTAATTTGCACCTGCATCCTTTGCTTGTGTTTTGTTTTTTAGCCGTTTAATTTTTTTTTACCCGCCACCTAGTGGCTGAAATGTTGCTCTACTATTGATAAGCTGCACCAATTTTAGCAAAATAATAAGGCCGAGTACGTAAAAAGATTCTATTGCCTTCCCTCCTTTCCCTCCCAGGGTAAGATTATCTTTAAAGGTGCCGCCCAAAAGATTGCCAATCTTTGAATTGAAGGTTTGTTTCAAATAGTACTTTATTTGGTGGTTTATATTATTATTGAGGCCCAAAGTTTTGACTTAATTGCTTCCTTTTAGATTATTTTGAGATGGGCAAATTCTTAGGAATATATCTCTGCTCTGTCTTGTTTTTGTTATCAAGCTGAAGTCTAAGGAGATCTTTGTTATTAATTGTAAAGTATTTTATTTACTTCTATTGAACACTTTTTACCACTAAGAAGCTACTGGAAATTAGAACTATGATAAAGAAGGGATAAAATATACTTGTTTTTCAAATAACAGCATTTTGATAAATCATTCTTGAAAATCAATTAAGAATGCTTGATAAAGTACTTCTACATAAACCTTCTGAAATCACTTGATAACTTTTGTTGGCTATTTTATGATTATCTTGTTCGGTAGATTCTGATCTTTTTGATTGAACTTAATTCAGCTCTTTTGCATTGTTTACAAAGGTTAGATTGGAATTAAAAGATAAATGATTTTGTATCTTTACTCAATATTACTGGTTTTTACTTATCTTGACAATAATTTGTGCTTTCTGCAAAATAATCAAGTATTCTATCATGATGTATGTTATAGAATTACAGATATAAATGACAGAAACAGAGTAAAACTTATCTGTTATCCCACAACCTTACATGTATCTTATGTATAGTTGAGATAGTAATTTACTATATCTAATATGGGCGGGAGAGGAGACATAATTTTTAAGAATATTATACGTGTTCCATAAAGAAAATGTGAGAACAGAGCAGCAGAAGGGGGTGACAGATTGAATGTAGGAGGAGAAAGAAAAACTACTTCCAGACCCCTTCCTTTGGAAACAGCTAGGAGTGTGGCCC